CTTTCAGTTCCTTACTGATGCTTGCGAAAATGCCGCATCCTCCGTGGATGAAGATGACTCCTCTCCGTTTGCTTGCAGATGGTTCTCTTGGGAGGTAAATCCTCACAGGCACCCCATCAAAATGGAGATCCTTAATGAAGAGCTGGGAATCTGGGCACGCTGGGACTCCATCCGTGATCAGCCTGGTAAGTGTGAGCTCCTCCACGATACCCAACCAGTTTAAGGTCTTTGCCTAGATAGATAGAACAGGAAAAATGAGAAATTACTATTGAAAATACAAATCTTCCCACTTTGTAATGGCCACTAACTACTTTTTCCTACACTGTCTTTAGGATAATTGGGTTGGTTACTTGCTAGTTTTTAGTTTTCCCACAGGTAAGTGTCTTTGGGATCTCTGTTAAAAACATGAAAGTTTACATCCTCGTGATTGTGGGAAGAATGTTGTAATACTTGTTCCATAAAATGTCTTATATAAATACCTTCTAGTTCCTATGATCTGGATTTACCACAAGTAACAACAGGCATTTGCTCAGGTGTGGAAGCTGGGAGGCCTGAGGCTCCTTTCCTAATGAGTGAATAGAAAGAGGCATTTCTTGGGGACAGTTCCAATCCTGGGTGTGTTAAATCATGCTCTGGAAGTGCCTGTTCATCTCCATGATTAACTGTACTTCAGATGCCTCAGTTAAAATATTTAAGGTTAGGTGAGATGAAAATCTCTCTCATGACAGGATTATCATGCAGGGGGGAAAGCCAAGACTGAGTGACTTAATGATGTTGGGTTATCTCCCTGCCAGGGTCAGTGAGAACAAGCTGTAAGAAAATCATTGTGTCTGTAATCATTACTGAGGGGCTGCTGGCTCAAGTGAGGAACTGATGAAAATGGTTCTGAATCTTATCTCCTCCATTAGTGAAATCACTGCCTTTTTCAAGATCTCACAGCTATTCATAAATGACTCTGCAGTTTTTACATCTAATCAGCAAAAACCCAAATATTCTGAAGACAGGCAAGGTTTGTTAAATGGCCTTATCCAAGGCCAGTCAACTGCTGATAATTAAGATAGTCTAAAGATCACTCTGAAATCCTCCTTTGAACACATGTAATGGATGCATTTCCTGCTAGAACAACATTTCCCTTCCTATTACATGGTGACTTAAATGCCCTTCTGGACTACTGCAATTCATTCTTCTGGAATGATGATAGTCATCACAAGGCATTTGCAAATTGTTTTGTTGTTCTTTTCTAAGCCACAGAAGTCTCTGTATCGATTCCTTACAAACTGAACACCAGTTTTGCTTGTGTGAATTGCTTTTTTCAACCTGTGTATCACAGATTCTTCCTAGTAATACACACCAGTTTGCAATAAACAAATTGGGTGAGGAGCAATAAAAGAAATCATCATAAGCCATGGGAGAAAATCAGTTAGAAACAAATGTGGGAAGTATCATGGCAAAGGGGAAAACTCCTTTAAGACACAGTGTAATGGTGGCAGAAACCACAAGGTGAATCTTATCTTCCCCAATCAGCAATTTTCAAAACTCTCATGACTCTGAAGTCAGTCCATCTGTCAGAGTCATGGTTTTGGAATGTTTGAAGTTGGCAGAATTGCCATTTAATCTCATTGAATTTTCTAGCATCCTTGAGGTTTTTTAGGGCTTTCAGATGACATTAATATATATGGTAAACTCGGTATCAGAGCATCCTAGCTAAACATCCTCTTTCCTTGCCTTGTCTCAGGAGTTCCTGACATCACAGAGGCATCTCCAAATTCAGGGGAAACACTGTCATGAAGAAAAGGGAATTTGGTATGTACTCTGTTGAAAAACTTCTTAATCAATAATTAGTAAATACTTCAAAACCTATAGCAACACATTCAAAACCTAAAAGGTTTGACTATTTCTAGACAGATGTGGTCAGTGTTAGTAAGTGAAACATATTACATAAACCAGGTCCTAAAATGTGCATGTGTATGAAAAAGACCATTCAACTTTTCTTGTGAAACACCGTCTTTCAAAAACTATTTGCTGGAACATCTAAATTCTGGCACCAACTGGCTTTTTTATGTGGAAGATCATATGGGGACCAGATTTTTACTTTAAAATAATTACAAAATCACATGCCAAAAGCAGCAAAACCCACTCAATTTGAGCTTCATGGACTTTAGGACTACATCAGGCAGCTTTTCTGTCAGTCACTCTAAAGTGTGCTTTCCCAACCACAGTAATTATCATCAAAGCTTCAGATCACAGTGCAATATGCACAGTTAGTCTGAACACAGATCTGAGTAGTTTGAAACAAAAGCCAGGAGGCTTCCTCTCATCTCTTGCATTTGGCATGGTCATTGATCTCTTCACAACAAGGGATGTGGACAGATGCAGCAGGAGCATCAGTTGTACCTTCACACAGGCACACATTTATCTGGTGCTGCAGCTTTTCTAAGCTGCATTGCAAGTAAAGTGCAAGAAAAGAGGAGAGGACTGTCTTGTATTGTGGAAAAAGAGGTTTTTACAGGAGCATACACTACAGGCACAGCTTGATGGCACAGGAAGAGCAGCATTCATCAGGATGAGAGGGAAAAGTTAATTTCACACGTGCCATACACAAAGCATTATGCACTTATTAAGAAACCTGTGAAGTCCTTACTGTGAGGGCTGCTCCTCTGAGCAAAAACATTACCCAGAAATTCACCCAAAATACCAGCAGATGCCTAAAGGCTTTTGAAAGAAAAATAGGGGAGTGGATTCAATGCACAGCAAGTGGTGAAATGCATCTTTAAAACTATTCAGAAAAAGGATGCTGAACTTTAGGGAATGTATTATCAATGAAGACAGCATACACACTTATTCCATAACAGACACTTAAAAGCTGTGAAAATGGGTTAAAAGTATCACCTGAAATCACTTTTCACCCATCAAATAGGGAAACTAGAGAATTTAATAACATTGTCCTATTATAATATTACTGTCATGTCATTATATTAAGTTTATATATAACATAACACAAAGAGAAGTGTGAGATATGCAGGGACAGCAGCATCTTCTTTCACAGCAGACAAGGCAGAAAAGTAACACTGGAGAATCAGGGATAACCACTGGATTTGGTGAATGCTCTAAAGTCAAACAAACCACCTAAACCTTGAATAGATTGTAATGGCCCAAATCACCCCTCAGGATGTGGGCCCAAGTTCCTGTGTTCTTTCTGTATAAGTGGGGATTAGAGAATTGAGGTGAGTTTCATACAGACATCAAAGAAACCACTCTGATTTTCCTGCAGGCTTTCTTTTGACATGTTACGTGCCAGACATGACAGGGCTTAGGCTGCTCCTACATACTCCTGTTGCCTGCTTTGAAAGCTTTTTGGGAGAAAGCTGTTTCTTTCTGTGATGGCAAAGCCCACAGCACAGTGAGTCTGGCTTCCAGGTACTTAGATAATAAGTGGGAACAGGCCTAAACCTGCTTTGGCAGGAGGTTCACTTAGATGACTTCTGGAGGTGTCTTCCAACCTACCTGATCCTATGATATTTAACTAGGACTCTGTAATTCAGTCACTGCAGAATAAGAACAGAAACAAAGGTAAGAAAATTACTGCAAATAACTCAGAATTTAGGAAATTGCCTTACATATATCAGAGTGCATTTAGACATAGAAATTTGGGTCATTATTATTCATGTAAATTATATCCACAGGCCTCCTGTCAGCCACAGGAGCAGTCATTTCATTATAGAAATATACAATTGCAGCATAAGAATGGGTATCTCAGTATTAAAAGAACTCGCCTCATCCTGGCTGCTTTATATATGGTAATAGAAACCAAATCAACCTTTGGCCTTTCAATCCATGTTACTGTGTGCTTCCCATTACATGCAGCTGCAGTATGTAAATGCATATCTTCATAGTCAAGCCTTTCCTTTTCTGAAAATCCCAGTATCCCAGAGCATGATAAACTCACCAGAATTTCCATCAGAGTGTACATACGGTGATAAAAGAGGAGCTTTGCTGGCTGGTCAACATCAGGAGGAATCTCTCCCTTGAAGAAATGACTATCAGGTGCAATTAAAACCAGCAATACAAAAACAACTAAAATTCCTGCTATTAAAACCAGAATATAATAGGATTCCATTGTTCTTTGGTGAGAATAATTGGACACTGTTTGATATGGTTCTGTCAGTATTTATATCCTCCAGACTGATTCCAGAGAGAAGTCATTTGCATACCAAATTCCCCCTGCCCTTCTCCATCAGGCAGGGCAGCCAGTGCTGGAAGCCTGCAAACATCCGGCTGTGACAACTGCACTTGGCATGATTCAAGCTCATAGCACAGTCACTTCCAGGAAACACCATCCTTTTGTATATTCCAAAACTGCAAATGGGCTTTCTTTTTTATCTGCTTTATGGGCCTGAAAAGCTCTCTGGGGTGTTTTGCAAGTGTACCAGTGAGTGTCTAAGCCTACGTAAGAGTGGCCGTGCTGGACTCCAGTCTCCCTCCATGGTCAGGAACTGCAGTGGTTCTGCTCTTGGAGTAGGTCTGAAGGATGATTCCAAGGCTTTTTGCTCAGTGCTGATCTTTTCCCCTTGCTGAGACAGACAGCTGGCCAGAACAGTTAGAACAGGCATTCTGAACTCGGTCTCAAGGAATTCTGATTTTGGAGATCCACATAGACCTGTCAGTTATTTGCCAGCCTGAGTGTGCAGCAAGGGGCTCTGGGCTCACCAGTGCTAGCACAGGGAAATTTCTTGACTTGAAGAATTTTGACTCTAACCCTCTGTGCTGATTCTTTCTAAAGAAAAGATTTTGGTATCTTTACAACTCCATATTTTGCTGTGTTTTCCAAGATGATGTGTTATCCATGGCTGTAATTCAGGTGTGATCAGAGCATACGGTATCCAAATGCTTGCACCAGAGGAGGTGGTGACAGTGCAGGAATGAGTCACCAAGTGTAACTCTGTGTATTTCTGTCCACCATGTGACTGGACAAAACTTGTTTGGGTAACATTAAAAAGCAAACAAGTTTTTTAGCTCAGCTTGACATAAGCAATGCAACCTGTGCTCATCCTCTGAACACTGAAACATTTCTTTATCTCCACTAATCTCCCCAACAGTCCTTTTATAAATCCTTATAAAAGCTTGTAATTGTGGCCACAGAAGAGAAGTACTCCTTTTTATGAGCCACAGGATTCTGCATTTGGCTAATCTACCTGCAGTGTATTCCCTCAGAGAGATCTTCACTGTAAAAAGGTGAGTCCTTTCTGTTTTCTTACATACTTTAAAAAAGCAGACAAAATATATTTGCTTATAAAAATCCCATTTATAAAAAATAGGCATTTCAGCAAAGAACAAGAAATTTCAATGTGAACTAGTCAGTGGGGTAAAAAAAAAAAAAATTAGCTGTGTGGAATGAGTAAACAAGATGAGTCATAAGAGATAAAATACCAGATGATGAGTGACCAGAATGGATTCTTAAGAGAATAGGTCTAACCCTTAACTTCACTGGAGGTCAGCAAGTACAGATGATTGAATTATGTGGTTTAAAATTAAGATAGGTAGAAAATAGATAGATAGATAGATAGATAGATAGATAGATAGATAGATAGATAGATAGATAATAGATAGATAGATAGATAGATAGATAGATAGATAATAGATATATAGATAATAGATAGATGATAGATAGATAGATGATAGATAGATAGATAGATAGATAGATAGATAGATAGATAGATAGATAGATAAATAGATAGATAGATAGATAATAGATAGATGATAGATAGATAGATGATAGATAGATAGATAGATAGATAGATAGATAGATAGATAGATAGATAAATAATAGATAGATAGATAGATAGATAGATAGATAGATAGATAGACAGACAGACAGAAAAGACACTATGGATAAGATCAGGAAATCCATGTAAGTAATAACATGGAACATTAACTCAGCAGGCCTGGACTTTGTCATCACAGTCATCTTTCCAATTCTGATGCAAATGAACTAAGCTGGGGAATAATTGATCTTTCCACTGCTGTGGTGCAGGACACTTCACTGAGCCCCTCCCAGCCCTACTGCATCCAGAACTCTGGGGGTACACTGACTTGAATTTTTAAAAAAACAAAACAACATAAATTAAAGCAAAAATTAAAGCTAATTTTATATTCTGAGAGGTAATATCTAGGATGAGGTTTATTGATTTTAGTGTGAACTTCTTTTCCCACATCAGTTCATACACCTGACCTATCCTAACCTCCCACTCAAAACCTTTGACACCACCAATTCTCTTCCTAACATTGCTCTTCTTTTTGACTTCCTTTGTAAAAGTGCCAAGTTTGAAGAAACTTTGGACAGTCAGAGGCCCTGAATTATTTCACCTCAGTACATATTAGTGAACCTCTCACTCTGAAAAGAAGTTACAGCTGCATGTAAGGAATTTTTTTTAAAAAGACATTGTTAGAAGGAATTCAGAGAATATTTTATCCTGAGATCTCCTTCCTAAGCTAGTTTACAAGTTTCCAGTGCAAACTTGTTACAGGCATTCACTTGCTGTTCAGTTTTTGTCAAAACTGATGTCACATTAGTTTAGTAGGATTTCAGGACTTTTCTCTAATTTTAAGAGCCTTAAAGATATAATTCTCCTGTTTTCCCAGTTCCTTTTATGTCTTTACAGTTTTGGCAGGACTGAGGAGTTAGTCAGAAGGAATGGGTAAATACTGACTGGCCTGAAAGTGAGTAAAGGCACCAAAGAGAAGGTGAGTCAATCAGGTTAACAAACATGGTCACTCCATTCCTCTTCACATGTGGTGTTTAGAATTTCTCAAATTTAGAATTACTCAGTAAAACATTTTTATATCTTTGGATATATCTAAAATATCTCTATATTTTATATCTTTATCAAGACAGTTTTTATCTTTGTATCTTTACTCATGACACTGCTTTGTTGTAAGATCCTGGAGAAGCCCTTAAGACATCGAAATCAGCTTTTTGTAAAAGGCCTGACACAGCCTTTGCTGTCAGGCTGGAAGTTAACCAGAAGCCTGGTTCCTTTGAGCTTAGTCCATGGCAGAACTCCACTTAGAAGGCAACACTATCAGACTCTTAGAGCACACAGAAGGACAGTGTGAAATCACAGAACCACTGGGACATATTTCAAATGGAAAGTGTGAACACAAGGGAAAAATGAAATCAAGGAGCACAAAAATTTAGCTCTTGATTTATCCAAATCTGACAGCAGTACTTCATCTAACAAAAACCAGATCAGCTTGGCAAAAGGTTTTCCTTTTTTAAAGGAGGTTTAAGTTTTATTCTGTAATCATGATAGATTGTCTATGATCAAGAACCCTGCACTGATGTGAAAAATGGTATTATTTGACACTGTAGTTACACAGCCTTTCCATTGTGGAACTGCTGCTCTCTGTTCCCAGGTTTGCACTGTAGAGATCTGAGTGGGGTTTTTAAAGTTGAAAACACAGAATTGTTAGCCCAAATGGCTTTCAGACATGCCTCAAGCACAGTTTTAATGTCCAGCTCGTTTTCCTTTCAAAAGTTCTTGCAGTTTAGCAACCTCATTTGTACAAACAGCCTTCCAAGGCTGGTAGGAACTTGGCTGCAAAGGCTCTATGAACACAGTTGTGCCTATAAAAACAGGTGTAACATGAACTGTGAGCCTCTTCATAGATCCAGGTAACACTGTTCTGCAAAAATGGAGCTCTGTCATGTAAGTGATGTGTGTAGGGAGTGTATCAACTTGTTTTGGAGGTAAATGTGCTTATCACTGCTGGTTTTTTTTTCCTTCAAGCCACTGCAAGTCAGAAAAAATCAGTTTCTATGATTTGTTGAGAATACAAGTAAATCTACACTAAGTACAGTCCATAAGCTGCACATGTACAAACCCAGCAAACTAAACAAACAAATGGAAGCCAAAACTGGCTTGAGTTACCACTGAATACATTCTATAGAATTATAGAATATCCCAAGTTGGAACACGTCCATAAGGATCATCAAACTCCTGACCCTGCACAGGACCACCCCAGGAATCCCCCTGTGTGCCAGACAGCCTGACTACCTTCTTGCTCTTGTAAACTGGAATAAAACACAGTTAAAAGTGCCATGAAAATGGCTTTAAAAAAGTTGTGTTGGTCGTTTTTTCAGTTTATATTCTGTTGCAAGTGTCTGTGCAGGAAACAACCGCCAAAAATGCAAAATTAATTCTGAAGATGATGCAATTTCACAGAATTAACAGGCATGCTTATGGAATGTTTCAGGGCAGTGGTTTAGCACTTCTGAGTGGAAACATGGACGGGATTCACTTTGGGACAACTTCAGACTGATAATTAGAGAGAAGCACTGTGATGTGACAGATCCTTGTTACTCCCACAAAGGTATGAGTGTCTGTACCTGCAGGATTGAAAACACTTCGATAATCAGCCCTCTGTGAAAGTGTACTTTAGGGGGTCTCACTATCAGAGATGGACTTTGTGAATAAAAGTTCATGTTGGTTTTGAAAAGGTGACAATTTGGAAAAAGACCTCTTGCCAAGAAAGAGTGCAGTGGTTGCTTTACAAGAATCAGATAAAATTCCGGAATATTTCTTATATTTTTTTTTTCCTTTTCAGAGTAGAACTGCAATTAAAAGGGACAATACCTCTAAAAAGTAAAGTTCCTAAAGTTCTAATGCTGTCACATATAATATGTGTAGTATTTAAAGCTATTTTTGGTTGAATTACGTGAATTTTAAAATAATTTGCATCTAGTTTTTATTTACTATATGCAAAATGCACTAACTTCAGTTTAACTATAAATCTGCTTTTGCTTCTTGTTTTTGTAGGTTTCTACAATGTAGCATCTACTAGTTTCCATTGCTTCAAGGTAAATCTAAAGCAGTAAAGAAGTAAAGTAATTCATACTTCAATGAAATTTGAAGAGTAGGTTAGGAAAATGTTATATATCTAGAACTGTCTTTTAACTTCCAATCCAAATTCGGTAGCAACTTTGTACACGGGTCAAAATCATAATGAATAAAAAAAATCACTTCAAACACATATTTAGATTATTATTCAAGCTGGAAATAGATACATGAAATAAATGCTCACAGATTATTCCATTCCCCCTGGCTTCAAAGTACCTGAAAATATTTTATATTAATAATTAATTTTCTTTTAATCTAAACAAGTTAACTGTGCAATATTGATGAGTTTTCTATTTTATATGTGTCTGAGGTGCTTAAGCATAAAGAGACTGAACTCAGGAATCAAAAAACCAAATATATTTTGATGGAGTTCATATCCTTTCATTTTCAGCACTGCTCCTTATTTCCACACCAGAAAGTTGTTATATTTGCTCCCAGTCCAGACACTGAGTCATTCCAGCTTTAAGCCAGACACTTGGGCTCTCTGGGTAATTTCTGTCTCCCCTCCAGAGCTGTTGGCCTGAGAGGAAAATTGTAATGCCAGGTGCCTCCCTGAGCTGCATTTCTAGAGGTATTCCTATAAAAACACACCCAGGTGTTAAACTCTGCCAACAGGCCGTGGAAATTCTCTGGTTGTTTCAGACACAGCTGAGTTAGGGAACACTCACTGATCCTGACAGTATGTAGAGACAGTTTCCAGCTAGGATTCTTCATCTTCTCTTCAAAACCCTCTCTCCTGACATTTGTGATTATGCAGTGACAGTCATCTGGCTTATTTCATATGAGGTAACCTGGCAGTTAAAGGTAAAAAATGTGCAAGCTTCTCTTCTCGATTTTATTTCCTTTTTTCTTTCCCTTAAAACTTTTGTGGAGCTTCTAACAGAGCTGAAATGCAAGGATTTTGGTATTTTTCATATTTTTTTAATTAAAAAAAAAATCTATGTGTGATATAGCTGTTGAATGTGAGGGGAGCAGAAACTTGGCTGCTCTTCTTTTTGCCAACAAAAAAAAGCCCCTCAAGAATCTGTTTCCACATGGCCACTTTGAATGCCTGCTTTCAAAAATACCTGTTTGATTCCAAAGAAGAAAAGTGAGTTAATTTTTAAGGGGATTCAGCATCCAAACTCACCTCTCTCACAGACGCTTAGATTCAAACATCCTTTGAGGTTGTGTTTCAGTAATTAGAGGTGTGAACAAGTTTGAGAATGATTTTAAATTCCATTTTCCCTTAATTCCAGTGTTTACCTCTAGATGGCTTCCCAGGACAGTGCATCTGCCTCCAGACCTGACTGAACGTGTGGACTGGATTCCTTTTGATGAATCCTGGTCATACCCCCAGATATAAACCCGAATTTCTTTCCAGCCCAGCTGTCAAGACAATACTGTGAGTTTTGATATCCTTGAGATATTTTGATATCCTCAAAGCTTTGCATTTTAGGTCATTTCTGATTGCTGCCACAGCTCCTGGCTGGGGATGAATGTGCAGTTACAGCCTCCTCAGAAAAGCTTTATCTGTACTACTGTAATCCTAATTTACCTGTCTAATTCTTGACAGTGCAAACAGTCTGGGGACCTGCTGTGATACACTTTGCCCTCTCCCCTATTACAACAGAGTTTGAAGTGCTGTGGGGACCTTCTGGGTATCACTGGACAAAAAAGTCTTGGAAGAAAGCACCCTTTTTTTGAAGTGTGAGCCTCCCTCTGTCATTCAGAGCCTGCCTTTTTCACTGCCCACCCCTGAATCCCCAGTTTTCAGCAATGCAAGCATCTTCCAGCATGGAAAATCCACGAGGTGTCACGCTCTCCAGAAAAACACTGCCCCAGTGGTACTAGATATTGATGATTATCAGCCTAGGCTGGGTTCAGCTGGCAGTCTAGGGCTGCAAGCAGCTTTGCCCCCCACACACCAGCTGGCCTTGGGCAAGCAGCTCCCTGTGGTGGCTTTGAACTCAGCCTTACCCTGGTTCTTCCTGGGCTGGATTTTGCCTGGGCTCAGCTCACACCAGGGCACCTTTCTGGTGCACACAGGGGAGGGAGGAGGCAGGGGCTGCCTGCCTTGGTGGCAGAGCACTTTGGTTCCTGCACAGAGCCCAGTGTGGCACAAGCCCAGCATGGCAGGCAGTGAGCCCAAGGCGGCACAACAGAGCCCAGGGTGACACAGAACAAGCCCAGGGTGGCACACAGCTAGCCCAGTATGACAGGAGCCCAGTGTGACAGGAGCCCAGTGTGGCACACAGCTAGCCCAGCCTGACAGGAGCCCAGTGTGGCACACAGCTAGCCCAGCCTGACAGGAGCCCAGCATGCCCACAAGTAGTCCACTGTGCCCACAGTTTGCCCCCCATGCCCGCAGGTGGCCCATAGGTGGCCCGGTGTTCCTTCAGGTGCCCATAGGTTGCCAGAGGTGCCAGCAGGCGGCTCAGGGTGGCCCAGGGTGCCCGCAGGTGGCCCAGAGGTGCCCACAGGTGCCCGCAGGTGGCCCGGGGTGGCCGCAGGTGGCCCATAGGTTGCCAGAGGTGGCCCATAGGTGGCCCGAGGTGGCCCATAGGTGGCCGCAGGTGGCCCATAGGTTGCCAGAGGTGGCCCATAGGTTGCCAGAGGTGGCTGCAGGTGGCCCATAGGTGGCCCATAGGTTGCCAGAGGTGGCCTATAGGTGGCCCATAGGTGGCCCATAGGTGACCACAGGTGGCCCATAGGTGGCCCATAGGTG